GAATATTTGCTCTCACAGTACAAAGCAAATTAGCTGAAGACCTGTGGCTTAAGGCAATGGCTTGTGTGTGTGTATAGTTCACTATAAGATATGTTTGGAGGGGTATGGTCCAACATTATTCAACACTTGAAGAAAATGGGCATAAACATATTGCCACTACACAGCAAATGAGAGGTGAGATTGGTTATCCTGGGTTTCATACAAGTGCATACAAATGACAAATTTATAGCCAAGTTTATTCCAATTTACTTCAAAAAGAGATATGAAAGCTTTATTGAGTCCAGCTGTTAACCTAGCACTGCCAAGTCCACCACTAAACCCTAAATGCCACATCTACATGACTCAGCCACCACTGGCCAGCCTGTTCCAATGCTTGACAACCATTTCAGTGAAGAAATGTTTCCTAATATCAAGTCTAAACCTCGCCTGGCACAACTTGAAGATATTTCCTCTTGTTCTATTGTTAGCGGTCGCAATTGCGAAAGAACTTATCTACACCAAGCAGATAAGCAGACACTTCTTTATTCCAGCACTGGGGAACACGGGGGATAACTCCGCCAAAGACGTGTTCTCCGACAGGTACAAAGCACAACATATTTATACACTTTTTCAGCAGAGTCATAGTTACATAAGATCAACAAAATTCATAAAGTTTAAGTTGACCTTAATAATGATTGGCTTTCAGTTTCCTCATCTTATCTATATTCCTATTTTACAGAAATCATTGGTCATCTTTACTGATTGATTTAAATAGAATAGGGGCAGGGCAATGATTAGCATATTCATGTTATTTCCTGGAAATTATTATCATATGCAAATGTCTCTAACGCATGCGTGGTTATACTGGATGGGGGTCCTCTGGTGGTCGCCGATTGTCTTCCTCACTGTGTCCGCTGACTGAACTCTGTCCTTGCGCATCCTCACTCCATCTTTGGCTGATGCTTTGGCCGATATTCCCAACCAAACCAGTTTCTTCTGGTACCTATTGTTTCAAGTCAAGATCCATATCCAGTACCTTTTGTGTTAATTCAGAGTCCATAATGATTGTTATAGTGTTCAAGGCACACAGCATACTAGTTGCTTAATCCTAAGGGCCTTAGTGTACTTTATATTCTCATAGCTACTGTAGCTTCATGTTAAATCAAAATCATACTTTTAAACTAAAATCAAAATAATATTCTAGGATTCAAACTGTTTTATTAAGGTAACTGCAACACTATCACTTGTTACTTGGGAGAAGAGACCAACACCCACCTTACTACAACCTCCTTTCACGTAGTTGTAGAGAACTATAAGGTCTACCCTGAGCCTCCTTTTCTCCAGACTAAACAACCTCACTTCTCTCAGCTGCACCTCACAGGACTTGTGCTCTAGACCTTTCACCATTTTCATTGCTCTTCTTTGGACACGCTCCAGCACCTCAATGTCTTTCTTGTAGTGAAGGGCCCAAAACTGAACACAGTATTTGAGGTGTAGCCTCATCAGTGCCGAGTACAGGGGAACAATCACTTTCCTAGTCCTTCCAGATGCTACTGGCCTACTTGGCCATCTGGCCACAGCTGACTGTTGACCAACACTCCCAGGTCCTTTTTCACCAGACAGCTTTCCAGCCACTCTTCCCCAAGCCTGTAGTGTTACATGGGGTTGTTGTGACACAAGTGCAGGATCTGGCACTTAACTGTGTAGAATCTCATACAGTTTCCCTTGGCCCATTGATCCAGCTTGTCCAGATCCCTCTGTAGAGCCATTGTACCCTCAAACAGATCAACACTCCCACCCAACTTGGTGTCTGCAAACTTACTGAAGGTGCACTCAATCCCCTCATCCAGATCATTGATAAAGATGTTAAACAGAACTGTGCCCAATACTGAGCCCTAGGGAACACCACTTGTGACTGGTCACCAACTGGATTTAACTCCATTCACAATGATTCTCTGGGCCCAGCCATCCAGACAGTTTTCTACCTAGCGAAGAGGGGCCTAATCACCTGGTTGTCCTGTACATGCACTCAAGATGATCTGCTTCATAACCTTCCCCAGCACGGAGGTCAGGCTGGCAGGCCTGTAGCTCCCCAGATCCTCCTTCCAGTCCTTCTTGTAGATGAGCGTCACATTTACTAACTTCCATTAAACTGGGACTTCTGCAGTTAGCCAGGACTGCTTAGCAATGACCTAAAGTGTCTTGGTGAGCACTTACATCAGCTCCCTCAGTACTCTTTGGTGGATTCCATTGGGCTCCATAGACTTGTGTGTGTCTAAATGGTATAGCATGTTGCTAACCATTTTGCCTTGGATTATGGGGGCTTCATTCTCCTCCCCATCCCTGTCTTCCAGCTCAGGGGGCTGGGTACCCTGAGAACAATTGGTCTTACTATTAAAGACTGAAGCAAAGAAGGCATTAAGTACCTAAGCCTTTTCCTTATCCTTTGTCACTATGGTTTCTCCTTCATCTCATAAAGGATGGAGATTCTCCTTAGCCCTCCTTTTGTTGCTAATGTGTTTATAGAAACATTTTTTATTGTCTTTTACAGCAGTAGCCAGATTAAGTTCTAAATTGGGTTTTGGCCCTTCTAATTTTCTCCCTGCATAACCTCACAACATTCTTGTAGTCCTCCTGACTTGACTGCCTGTTGTGGTTTGAGCCTACTCAGCAGCTAAATGCCACACAGCCGCTCACCCACCCTCCACTCCACTTGGGAATGGGGAGGGAATCGGAGGGGCAAAGGGAGACTCGTGGGTTGAGATAAAAACAGTTTAATAATAGTAACAGAATAATACACTGACAGCAATATCAGTAGGTAATGTACAATACAGCTGCTCACCACCCACCGACCGACAACCGCCCATTCCCGGCCAGCAATCCCGAACACAAAGCCACCACAGCAACACTCCCAGAAGTGGCAGCCTCTCCCAGCCCTCTCCTGCCTTTATATGGTGAGCATAATGTCACATGACATGGAATATCAGCCAATCCCAGCCCAGCCCTCCAGCTGTGCTCCCCTTGCCCCCGTACACAGGTGAGGGCACTGGGACCTGGGGAGCCCCTGGGGTCTCAGGGTGCTGCAGCACTCCTCCAGCTACTAAAACAAACAGGAACTCTATTCCAGCCTGAACCAGGACACTGCCCCTTCTTCCAAGGGTCATAAACTCCTTTTTTTTTCCTGAGTTCCAGCCAAAGCTCTGTTCAGCCAATCTGGTCTTCTTCCCCAGTGGCTCATCTTTTGGCACATTGGGACAACCTGCTCCTGCGCCTTTAAGATTTCCTTCCTGAAGAATGTCCAGCCTTCCTGGACTCCTTTGCTCTTCAGGGATACCTCCCAAGGGACTCTGTCAACCAGTCTCCTCAACAAGCCCAAATCTGCTCTCCAGAATTCCAAGGTAGAAGTTCTTCTGATTCCGCTCCTTCTCTGAGAATCAAAAAACTTTATCATTTCGTGGTCATTATGCCAAGGATGTCTTCCAGCCATCACATCACCCACAAGTTCTTCTCTGTTCACAAACAGCAGGTTGAGCAGGGCAACTTCCCTAGTTGGCTCACTCACTAGCTGTGGCAGAAAGTTATCTTCCACATACTTCAGGAACATCCTGGAGGAACCCTCTCTGCTGCATTGTATTTCCAGCAGACATCTGTTAAGTTGAAGTTGCCAATGAGAACAAGGGCTAGTAGTGATCATGAGACTTCTCCAAGCTGCTTCTGGAATATTTCATCTGCCTCTTCATCTTGGTTGTGTGGCCTGTAACAGACTCCCAGTATGATATCTGCCTTGTCAGACCTTCCCCCTAATTCTTACCCATAAACACTCAACCGTATCTTTAAGCTCTAGACAATCAAAACACTCCCTAACATACAGGGCTACTTCACCACCCTTCCTTCCTTGCTTATCTCTTCTGAAGAATTTATACCCATCAATTGCAGCATTCCAGTTGTGCAAGTCATCCCACCATGTTTCTGTGATGGCAACTATGTCATCGTTCTCCAGCTACACAACGGATTCCAGTTCCTCCTGTCTATTGTTTTTTTGTCACAGTTCTAATGATGTTTAATGTTTTTCATAAATCTTAGCTCCTGTATTCCTGTAATTATGTGAGAAATTCAGGTTATTTCTAAAAAACACAATGAATCTCTAGCCTTTGTGGTTGCTTGCACAGGAAAACTTGAAATATCATTCTTCAAGGATCGAAAACTGGAAAGGAAATAAGAAGAATTTATGCTTATTTTGCCTGAAGTTTTGTGATTTTGAAGATCTTGCTCTCTTGAGAACCCAGCTCATGGTTTTCAGTGCTAAATGATGGCAAGAAAGTATATGTGGGTAAGAAAAGCCTTACATTCCAATCAACAAGAGACTTTAAGTAGTATGAATGGTCTTTGGTTTTTATATCAGGTGTACTGGGTTCAGAGTAAAGTTGATATGTCTCACAAACCTCCTGAAGGATTAACAAAGGGGCATTTTGAAGGCCATCCCAGTAAAATAATAGTGTGTTGCTAATTATGCGAGTTATGAAATCTTAGGTTAAAGAAAATACGTATCACATTTTTCCGATTCTTGTTGACCTACCAAATGATTTAGGTCACTGAAGCAAACAAAAGCTAGTGAGGAGAGCTTAAATAAACAACTAAATCATGTAATTATTTTTTCTTTCTCTTCAAACAAAGAGGAAAATTTGGCTGGAAGAGAGTGTCTGTGCACACCCACTTCTTTGCATATGTGCACAAGTGGAAAGAGATCCAGCAGGAGCATTTCGGGGCCATGGCTAAGACACATGTCCCAGACATATTTACAAATGATCTTGATGTTCTTTCAATACTTTTGCGGAAAGAAGAAAGAAAGGTATAATTGTCCTGTTTAATTATGAAATAGCTCTAGCTATTTCAATCATTCATATTTGTCTAAACAGAAAAAATCTCTACATCTGGCATCTGTGGAGTGCAGGCAGCTGCATGATACTGCGACTGGCTGTCTCAAATAGACATGCTGACCTTTTCCTCTTTCTTTTCTGCAGGACTGCCCACCAGAAGCAGGTGATTTTCGTGCCCAGCAATGCTCTGCTCACAACGACGTCAAGTACCAGGGACAGTTTTACGAGTGGCTTCCTGTTTCTAATGACCCTGACAACCCATGCTCACTGAAGTGCCAGGCCAGAGGAGCAGCTCTGGTTGTGGAGCTGGCACCAAAGGTTCTGGATGGGACCCGGTGCTATACTGAATCCCTGGATATGTGCATCAGTGGCTTGTGTCAAGTAAGGAGAGAAGGCCTACCTAAATGCCTTTCCTCATGACTTCTCCCCTCAGATCTCTCTCACATGCTCACTCTCCTCTTCCATACTTGTATCATTTTAGGGTCTTCATTTTAATCATCTGTTTTCATCCTTAAGTTTACTTCTTCTACCTTGTTTGAAAGAGGCGTACAAACGCAAAGGTTATTTTCTCACTTTATGCTGTTTCCTTGGGGTTTTTTTGAGGAATGTATTCTCAGCTTTTGAACTGTTTTGTTTAGTTATCTGCAGAAGCAGATCTTATTTGAAAGCACAATAAGAAAATAATGGTGCTTTCCAAAATAATTTGGATATACCCAAGTCTTCTCAGTCTATGAAATTTCAATATCTTTGAGGATTATTGTTTTTTGTAAATCACAAACCGCATAGCAGTAGGTGAGGTACTAAACTGGAAAATCTGCCATTGATTTGTTGCAGGACTAAGCAAGCTGCTACATTTATTTGGGCCTTAGCTGCTTTGTTTGCTAAAAGTGACATATGGGGACTTTTTAACCATTTGCTTCACAGTGCATGGAGATCTATTGATCATTCAACCAACTTACTGGCATCCTTATTTGGTTTTATATTACCTTTGTGCTTTTACACATACATTGCGACTCTTTTGAACATATCTATGACAGACTTTAGTCTCCTGAACTACATGTAGGCTATATGTTGATGGAAGGGAGGACATTTGTACATCTCTGTTAACTACTGAACATACCCGAATCACAGAAAAGGTTGAGTCTGTATTCATGTTTCAGTGCCCAGTCTCCTTCAAATATATGTAGACTTGTGGTTTTGGCTTTCTAGTGTATTTTCAGACACATTGTGTGCCTTTGGAAGCTTTCCTCCCTGTTTCCTTTCTCTTTGATTTTCTCTTCTGGGCCAGCAGCAGTCCAGCAGTAAATGAAACAGAGTAGGCAGCTACTAATCTCATTTGTGATCTGAAGAAGGCAATCATCTAGACCTCTTGACCTCAACTGAGTGCACAAGTTTCTCAAAATTCCAGATTGCCTAGTAAGACAGACTAATTCAGTCTTCTTTTGTGCTATTTAATCTTTTAAAAACTTAACTGGAGAGATAGGGATGTGGATAGGGAAATTATTCAAAGTATTCTGCCTATAGTGGCCTGGAAATTAGGAGCAGTGCATTCAGGCTCTGTGTTGAGCTGATTTCTGTTTTGGTCCAAATATGAAACATACCTTTCCGAGAAAACCTTCCCTTAGGAACAGAGCTTATAAGCATCCACTACTAAAACAAACTAATTTACATTCTTATGGCACTTCTTACTTCTGGAATGCTGAAGGTAGCTGTGCTATTACATCTATGAAGACTGATGTTATTTCTTAAATGTCTATGTGGCTAAGGTAAGTATGTTGAAAATAGACAAGTACCAGTGTCCCTGAGGAACTTCAGCTAAACTAACCCTTCTCTTATATACCCTAGAATGGTAGAATAATTTTTAATGCTTAAACACAGTGACTGTATATTTTACAAAACCTTCAGAATTCAGTTTCTTCACCAACATTTTCTATATACTTTACAATACAGCATCATTTTTGAGCTTGGCCAAAAAAAGAAAATTAAATACAAATGATCACGCTGCTTCCTCACAATGAATAATTTTATATTTTTGGGTGTGTTAAATTTAAAGCAACTCAAAGCATTCTTGTCACAGTGGATCCCTGCTAGACAGTCATATCTTGAAAACAGTAGATGTACTGCATCAGAAAGCTCATAAATAGATTTGCCCTAATTGTATGCTTTAGGACAGTATCCGCTTTACTGTCAACACAGTAACATGTAATACTACCTAAGCAATTCAGAAAGGTAAACAGTATGAAATTTACCAGAATTAATGGTGAATGTTCTTCAAAAGCAGCATTCTTCCATGGCTTCTATAAAGTGTCTCTTAAAAGAATGGGAAACCATAGTATCATGGAAGAACAAAAGGGAGCATTCTTGCTCTGTGACATTTGTGTGAATATGCTTTCTTCTGTAAGCAGGGTGAGTACATGTAAATTTCAGAGGAGACAAAATATGGTCATAAAAGTTATTTCTATGCATTTACAGTATTAGCTGCAGGCTATGACTTACCTAAAATGGTTAATAGACTCTAAACATAACAGTGACAGGTCCCAGTAGTTTGTGAGAGTTCATAATGATCCTGAGGTTTCAACAATATTTTCACGAGATGAGTTTGGAACTGCAAGATTTGAGGTCATAAATCAGACAGCTGTAATAATACAAAGGCATGGTTTGTCACAACTGCAAAAAATGCAGTCTCCTGAGATTTGTATCTAGTCTAAGATCCTGAATATTTAAAAATGGAGTTATGCTTTTTAACAGGTTCTTTACAAGAAGTAATTACACTATCTCAGGGATGAAGAGGTATATTTTCTGGATTGCTCAGAGGAAAACTACTGAAAGCAACTTTAAGTTTGCCATCCTAGTGGGCTTGCATTGATACAAGTATTTGACTGTGTCTTTTATTACAGTGAAGTATACTGACTTCCAGAATATGTTCTGATTACATCCCTAGGTATGATTTTTTTTACACTGTAGTTGGCAATCAAGAAGGAATTGAATGTTGTTCAGCTAGAACATTTTATAAAACATATAAACATGCCTATTCAATTACAGTCTGTGAAAGAGTCATGGATTAGTAAAAGTGATGTTAAGATCAGTGCATGCTTACATAGACATAGTGCATTTTAACCTGTCGATCAAACAGTCAGCTGTCTGATCTGTCTGAGAGCAGAGTTAGCTCTCTGAACTAAGCACAGTGATCTTTTTAGTAGGCAAGATTTGGGCCAGTCTATGGCCTGTTGTGTGCTCACAAGTTGTTCCAGAGGTTATTAATAGCAGAAATGAAGCGTTAGTTGTACTGCCTTCTGTGCACCTCATTACTCTTTTCTGATTAAAAGGTTCTGGTTTTTACTCTTGTTGGCAAATATGCATTTGTTCACAAGATGCATGTTGTGGTTTGAGCTCAGAGGGAAACTGAGCACCACACAGACACTCACTACCCACTTTGTCCCCAGTGCAGTGAAGGGGAAAAGAAGCCAAGCACGGGATGTGAGATAGGACCGGGAGGGGCAAATCACCCATTATAGTCATAAGCAAAAGTCAGATACATTAGGGAAAGGAAAAAAAGAACATAGATTTATTACAGACACTAACAACAACACTTAACAGAGTAGGGGAGTGAGAATCTTTACCACATCTTGAGAACACCTTCCCCCACCACTCCCTTCTTCCCAGGCTCAGCTCTGTTTCTGATATCTCTACCTCCTCCCCCCAGCAGCACAGGGGCAGGGAATGGCGGGTGCAGTCAGTGCTGCCGCTTCTTCCATCTTCAGTGGGGGGAGTTTCTGGAACTTTTTCCCCCTGCTCCATCGTGGTCCCCCTCTCACAGGAGACAGTCCTCCACAAACTTTCTCCAACTGGAGTCCCTCCCATGGGCTGCAGCCTTTCCCATGCTCCTCCAGTGTGGGACACTCCTGCATGCTGCAATCCTCCCAGCACTGAACTACAACAGCAGTGGCTACTTCTTCCCACAAGGTCCCAGACTCCTTCAGGCATAGACACCTTAGTTGGGCATGCAGGGCCCCTCACAGGCCATAAATCAGTGTCTGCACAGAACTTCATGGCTGTCAGGGGGGTGCCCACCCTTCCATCTCACCACAGGATACTGGAGAATCTCTGCTCCAACACACCTCACCGCCTCATTTCTTCCTCCATTCCTCCACTGACCTTGGTGTTCATGCAGTTGCTGAAATTACTCCTCACAAGTCTAACTCCTACTTACCAGGCCCTTTCTTAAATACGTTATCTCAGAGGTGCAACTGATTGGCTCAGTTTTGGTGCACAGGTGGGGGCAAATTTGAGCCAAGGGAGCTTCGAGAAGCTTCTCACAGGGGGCCATGACTGTAGCCCCCTCTCCTGCTATGAAAAAAAAAAAACCCACACCACTCACTCAAACCTAGAACAATGCAACATTTGGAAATTACAAGATCCCTCTCTCATACTTATCCCTTAATTTTTCATGTTGTTTGGAGGTTTAGAATTACCAGTAGTTTAGTGGCATATTTATGAGTCATTGTTTAATTACTAGCTATTGAGCTGTAGTCTTTATTTTACGTTCTGGCTACCTACCAGTTAAAGTCAGAAGAGACTTCTGATTGTATTCAGGAGAAGCAAAGTCACCTTTGCATGTAGAACAAGCTGTATCCCTGAATCTTTGATTAAATAAAGAGCACTGTTAGAGATTCTTAAACAGAAGTTTATTTTTATTTACAGGTATAGAGTATGAGAAAGGTTATGCACTTATTGATTCAGACACGCTTCATGGTATAGGGCAGTACACATGACTCTGCCAATTCAGGAGTCATGCCAACTGTATGTATCTTGCCTCTTCCCATATTACATAAATGTATTTATCTTCCGTGAAAAGGTGAGCTATATCTTGCTATTGCTCTTTGTGTAAAACACCTAAGAAATTAATGAGGATTCATTTCTGAGCATTATTTTTTTCTTTCTGGAGTTTTACTTTTAAATCCATACGTGACAGAGATTGACCAACACCATTTTTCAAATGAAAACCTCTTTTTGTAATTCCTTTTATTTCTTCCTATTTGTCTTGTTCCTCCTAACCATTTAAAATTCCTTTCTATATGGATATCCATGTTATTTGGGTCCCTTTTTCCTTCTCATTTTTTTAAGAAACAGAGATTAGTTCTCAGATGTAATCTTTAGGTCTTGTGGTGAGTCACCTCAGGATATAGTATACCCCACCGATATAATGCAACTAGCTTGAACCACCATGGTGAAGTCAATAAAATGCTCTTTAAGAGAAACAGTGCTTTAATGTTCTGCATTAGGAAGTGTCTATATGGATAGAATTTATGGAGATCCAGAGCACAATACATTTTAAAACTTCCAATTTTTAGTTTAATTTTCCCTGTTTTTAAAATAAATTC